CCAAAATGACCCGAAATCCTTTAAAATCGACCCCAAATGACCCCAAATCCCATAAAATCGACCCCAAATGACCCCAAATCCCATAAAATTGACCCCAAATCCCATAAAATCGACCCAAAAATGACCCCAAAATCGACCCAAAATCCCATAAAATTGCCCCAAATTGAACCAAAAATCCATAAAATCGACCCAAAAATCACCTCCAAATCCCATAAAATTGACCCAAAATTGACCCCAAAATCCCATAAAATCGCCCCCAAATGACCCAAAATCCCATAAAATCCACCCCAAAATCCCATAAAATCCCCCAAAACCCCAAAAGCTGCGGAATTTACCCCAAATTTTTGGTGACTTTTCCCAGCAGCTCCGGTTTCTGTTTCCTCACCGCCTCCATCACCGCCCCGTACACCTCGCACAGCCGCGTCCCTAATTAATTAATCAGCCGCTAATTAGGCACTAATTGCTCATTAAGAAGAGCCCATACGCCTCGCAGTGCCGGCTGCCTAATTATTTAGCCATTAATTACCCATTAATTAGGGATTAATTAGGCACTAACGCGACATCAACATGTGCTCCGACACTGGGCAAAGCCATGTCACTGATTAATTAACCATTAATCAGCCATTAATTAGCCATTAATTAGGGATTACTGGGTCATCAATAAGTGCCTGTACACCACGCCCTGCGGGGTGCCTAATTATTTAGTCATTAAATAGTCATTAATTAGCCATTAATTAGGGATTAATGGGTCATCAATAAGTGCCTGTGCACCCGGCACAGCCGCGTCACTGATTATTAAGCCATTAATTAGCCATTAATTAGGGATTAATTAGGCACTAATGGGTCATCAATAAGTGCCCGTACACCTTGCAGTGCCGGGTGCCCAATTATTTAGTCATTAATTAGTCATTAAGAAGGGATTAATTAAGCACTAACGCGACATCAATATGTGCTCTGACAACTGGCAAAGCCATGTCACTGATTATTTAGCCATTAATTAGTCATTAATTAACCATTAATTAGGGATTACTGAGTCATCAATAAGTGCCTGTACACCTGGCAAAGCCATATCTCTGATTAATTAACCATTAATTAGGGATTAATTAGGCAATGATGGGTCATCAATAAGTGCCCGTACATCCAGCACAGCCACGTCACTAATTATTTAGCCATTAATTAGCCATTAATCAGCCGCTAATTAGGCACTAATTGCTCATTAAGAAGAGCCCATACATCTCGCAGTGCCGGCTGCCTAATTATTTAGTCATTAATTAGCCATTAATTAGGGATTAATTAGGGATTAATCGGACATCGCTATGTAGCCGTACAGCTGGTAAAGCCACGTCCCTAATTATTTAGCCATTAATTAGCCATTAATTAGGGGTTAATTAGGCACTAATGGGTCATCAATAAGCGCCCATACATCTCGCAGTGCCGGGTGCCTAATTATTTAGTCATTAATTAGCCATTAATTAGGGATTAATTAGGCACTAACGCGACATCAATATGTACTCCGACACCGGGCAAAGCCATGTCACTGATTAATTAGCCATTAATTAGTCATTAATTAGGGATTACTGGGTCATCAATAAGTGCCTGTACACCACGCCCTGCGGGGTGCCTAATTATTTAGCCTTTAATTAGCCATTAATTAGGGATTAATTAAGGATTAATGGGTCATCAATATGTGCTCTGACACCAGGCAAAGCCATGTCACTGATTATTTAGCCATTAATTAGCCAGTAATTAGCCATTAATTAGGCACTAATGGGTCATCAATAAGCGCCCATACACCACAAGCTGCCGAGTGCCTAATTATTTAGTCATTAATTACTCATTAATTAGCCATTAATTAGGGATTAATTAGGGATTAATCGGACAGTGCTAACTGGCTGTACACCTGCTAAAACCACTTCCTAATTAGTATTAATTAGTCGTTAATCGGGGGGAGGTCCCAAATTTGGAGGGGAGGTCCTAAAGAGGGAGGAGCTCCTAATTAGCGGGGTTGGGGGTGAGATAATTAATTAGAGGGGTCATTAATTGGGGGTTGGGAGTCACTAAGAGGGGTCTCAGAGGAGGGGGGGCGGGCACATTTGGGAGCCCTATAGCAATTGATTCTTTTGGGGTGGGGGTCCCAAATTTGGAGGGAGGGTCCCAAGAAGGTTGGGGTCCTAATTAGTGGGGTTGGGGGGGAGATAATTAATTAGGGGGGTCATTAATTGGGGGTTGGGAGTCACTAAGAGGGGTCTCAGAGGAGGGGGGGCGGGCACATTTGGGAGCCCTATAGCAATTGATTCTTTTAGGGTGGGGGTCCCAAATTTGGAGTGGGGTTCCCGAAAAGGGAGGGGATCCTAATTAGCGGGGTTGTGGGTGGGATAATTAATTAAGAGGGGGGGTGTCCCCACCGTGTTTCATGTGACGCAGCATCTCGTCCTGCAGCTGCAGCAGGAAGCCGTAGTGTTCCTGCATCTCTTGGGGGGGGTCCACCATGAGGGTCCTGACCAGGTTGGAGCAGTAGGATTTGTAGCGGATCCCCATGGCGCAGGTGATGGCCCCGAAGTGCAGGTGGTTCTTGTCGCTACGGAAAAGGACCCAAAAAGATGGGATTTCAACCCAAAAATTCGCCCGGGGAAGTCGGGTGGAATGGGGCGGGGGAAGGGAGGGGGAAAGGGGGAAGGTTGGGGGGTGGGGGGAAAAAAAAAGGGGGTGGGG